TTCAGAATATCCGCGTAGATGGGTATATTTTGCTTACTGTAAACTAATACTGTAAAACCATTTATATTCACAAATATTTATTGGCTAATTTGAGGCATTCACTGGGTTTTAAGTTTACAAATTTTGTTATTTTACATGTTCACATAGATTTAATTAAGCGGAATTAAACCCAGTGAATAATTAATGCATTTAAACTCACCAACAAAAACAGTGTTGATGATGAGAATATAGGCCACTTTTCTTTCATGTACACACTTCATAGTCACGACATATATCCAGGTATATGAAAACTATTGCCACAGTATTTTTCTTTTGAGATAGAACCAAATAGCTGTTATAAGAAAAGTTTAGACACAACACTGGTTGAGGTAGTGAAGGTTTATTTCTTATCCAATAGTTATCAAATGACATTTCTGTATAGCACAAAGGTAATAATACTTCTGTCGTAAGATCTCATCTCATACTGCCAAAGTTCCTCGGTGTTCAGGATTTAATACTTCAGCAGTGCTCATTAGAAACTTTGAATTATGTTACAGTTAGTTTGCTACTACAGGTGACACCATGGTGAAATTACACATCAAGCGAGGAGATGAGAGTCAGTTTCTGTACGAGACAACCGTCACAACGACCATAGATCAAGTAAACAAAGAAGTGACAGATGTGTATAACGACAGATTGAAGATAACCAGAATTTGTTATGGTAAGGTACTAATTTTCAGAGCATGAAATAGTGGGGATCCCTAGAGCCTGGCACACCTAGAATTTTTATCAGGCTCTTTCCTGAATCATTCTTCATCTAGCCTTGAACCCTCAAATGTATGTATGTGTGAGAATTCTTGCTTTTTAATATTCTGTAGCTAGCATTCAACCTGGCTTCCATATTTCACGCATAATTCTACGTTTTTTTCTTGTGCCCGGTGATCTACCTTCAGAACTGCACTAAAACTGCTGAAATTACAATGAAAATTAACTTGTAACTCCTACAATGTGATTGATTATTTACCAATGACAGTTTTACTTATTATAAAATTTTAAAATATGTAAATAAAAAATGAATACTACCTTCAACAATTTATCCATATCAGGTTTTTAATTTAATCAATGCAATATACTTTGTATTTCACATAGAAATGGAAGAGTTATCTAAACATGGTACTGCACTGCCTCCCAATATGCAAGGACTCACTGACGATCAAATAGAAGATTTAAAACTAAAAGATGAATGGGGTGATAAGTGTGAACCTAGTGGTGGTTCTGTATATTGTCAAGATACTATTGGTAGGCGGAATGGTAAAGGTATGTACAGAGATGATATTTTAGACGTCAATAATCACAGCATTTATGGTGGTAGATTTTGTCTTTTAAAAGGTGGCGTTTTTATATATACAAAACATGTGTACCTAATACCTTTTTGACTATTTTTCAGCCATAGCATGTCATGACACTTTAGGCGTCATTTCATTACCATATAACCACAGAAGTACATTTGTTTGTACCTTCCCAGAACTTTCTAGTAAACATAAGATTTACAGTGACAGTGTTCGCTGTATTAGAAGCACATATGACAAAAATAGTTTATGCTGGATTATTACAATACATGTATTTTGATGATTTTTATTTATTAATACAGTTATTCATATATTAATTCCATTGTACCAAAAATTCTCAAACATGGTGGCCAATTTACATATTAAGTGTATGCAAATTAGCTGCATGTTTGAGGATATAGCTGGAGAGAATCCTAGATTGCATCATTTGTAGAGGAATTTTTAATTAGTACATAACAATAGCTAATTAATAATGATTTAGAGGAATTTTTAATTAGTACATAACAATAGCTAATTAATAATGATTTAGTGGAATTTTTAATTAGTACATAACAATAGCTAATTAATAATGATTTAGAGGAATTTGAACTAACAAAATGTAATATGAATTGTCATCATTATTGCAACTCACAGTACCATTAACTTCTACTCCACGTACACTTCTAGTGTACACCATCTTCATTCATATACTGTAAAATGACTAATTTTCACTGGGTTTAAATTTCGCTAATTTACCAATTTAGGCATATTCAGTGGGTTTTAGATAATGTGTTCTATGCTAAATTTTAAATATTCACTGGGTTTTAATTTAGCGCATTTTCCAGTCAGCGAAATAAGCAAAATTAAAACCCAGTGAATAATTAACCCGTTACAGTACTGTGTCATTATTCTCATAGCATTATTGTTGTTGCTACTGGTGATATATCATATTGTCATGCCAGTCATTGTTAAGTCTATTGTTTTCTGCTTTCAGCCCCTAATGAGAAAATGGCTGAAGTTATTACAAAAACAATCAGTGAAGCAAAAGCGATAATTTCTAAGGTTAGTATTTCCTGTTTAACTGGAAGTGAAAATTTCTGTCAACTAGAACCGACCTTGGTAGTAGATGCAAACAGCAAGTAGTGTTATAATTTTTGTTTTTGTTTTCTAGGATCAAGTATTGAGAGATGTTGTATTAACAAAGAAAATGACGAAAGACGCCCTGGACTTGTTACGAGGTGCTGTGACAATAGTGTATCCAATGAACTTGCCACCACATGATCCAATCAGATTGGAATTTGAAAACAATATAGACCTCACTGGTACACAGGTATGATATGTATTACCATCTGTAGACCATGACAGGATGAATTTTCAATATCTATACAATACCAGTATAGCAAATCTGTTTGATTAAACTACATTCATGGTTTGACTTTCACACTTCTATGGTCAACACTTTTCACTGGTGTTTGCTGACACCTTGTTTTGATGGGACTTGAAAATTCACGGAGGAAACTAATTTGTCATATATTATCAATGGAGACTACTGTTTCGTGTATTGTGTTTTAACTGATGAAATCTAAAATATTTGATCAATGCAAATAACTTGTGATTGCAGTGCATAAAACTGAGTAGAGATGTTGCACACATTTGTATTTGAGGTTCTGAAAATTGAGGAACAATTCTTTATTTCTGCCAAAAACAAAGAAGGAGGGGACCAGGATATCATCACAAGCGTTGTTTTCAAATTACATTATTATGCATTTAATCTTTGAATGATGTCTTCTTTTATGAACTTCACTCAGTTTGCGCAGTTCTATTGTCAAACTGCAGGTTTTCATAGAAGTCACCTTCAATGTTCATTTACATGCTAGTACACACAATCAACAATGACACTTATTATGTTTAATGATGACCAATAATGGTTTGATAAACTATATGTGAGATGCAGTTGAAAAATTCACCCAAGAAAAGTGTTACTCTTATCAGTGTCTTTTTTAGTGTCAAATAGTGATTGCAATTGCATGATATACAAATATGTATCAGCATTTTTGGATGAAACTTAAAATCCCGATTGACACTTAATTTGTTCGTTATTAAAGTGTATTTGATTGAATGTCGTAGTACTTTATTTTACAGACATTAATCAAAATTGCTCAAATGACATTGCCAATTTTAGTTTGGAAACAATTGCCGTCATAAATCATGCTAGTATAATGATGAGAAATACAGCGCCCCTAACATTATAACAAAGAAATGTGCAATGCAAATAAAAAATTCACATATTTTTATTTTCCAACAATCAATCTTTACTTCTTCTACAATATGTCATTTCTATTATTGTAAGAACATTCTTTGCTGTCTCAAACACAAAAACCAGACCAAATGAATATCAATTTTACACACCAGGGAAACATTTCAAGCATCCACTGAGGCCCGCCATCATCTAATTACCTTTTGATTTGATTACAGGCGTCCAAAGAAGTAATAGAAGAGCAAGAAGCATCGCTATGGTTTTCAGGAAAAGAGATGATTAGAGGAAAAAAAGTGTCTGATTATCTTGGAAAAAATGAAAAGACAAAAATTATTGCAAAGCTACAAAAGGTACTGCTTTCTTCTAACAATTTGACTTTTTTCAGCTTTGATAAAAAGATTTTTGTTATTATATTGATGTTGTAATTAGTATTGAAAAGTAATAGGTATGTTATCACATTAGGGAGTGATGTCTTCACTGGTATAGCATATTGTATGGTTATTAGAAAAATCATCATTATTTTCCCCACTGTTTGTTACTCTCTCAAGTGCATGCAGAGAAAATGCCACTGATACAGAAATTTTTACATTATATTGTATTAAAATGCTTACTGCCAGTTTAATTTGCAGATTATGTATCTTTGTGGCTTAAAATTTACACTGCAGGGGTTTCCCTAACTTTCAAAGTAGGAGGCTAAATTAAAATAGTAGGAGGCTCGATCCCAACGACTGCGTAGCTTCACAGCGCAATGTGAGCATGTTGCTTTCGCATGGGGAGGACATGTGGACATATGGTTTATATTAATCTTGCATATGCTTATCATATTTTTAAAAATTATTAAAATAATTTTAGGTTATTCACTCATGAGTGTTTGCTATTATACTTATCCTTTATTCTCAAGAAATTTTGACATGAATTTGATGGTTTGTATTTCAGAGAGGACATGGCGCACCCGCCAGAGAGACTCCATTTAGTGAAGAAGAGCGTAAAGCAATGATGGCGCATGCATATCGAAAACAAGAAGAGTGGAAGGTATGAACAGTTTTTCACAAAGCCAGAAAATAATCTTGTTCATCAGATCTTCCTTGTGGAAATCTTGGGGCAACAAGTACTTTTTTTTCCCCTTAATTCGTTAAAATATAAGTTTATGCCCATCTTAAGTGTCTTTTAAATGATATACAAAATTGCGTAAACTTCAACAAAAAAAAACTCTCAGCCTAATGTCCTGCAATTTGCAAGAATATATCACAAGCACAAGTGCAAGAAGGTCTGATTTTCAAGAAATGTTTTTTCACATGGCCTTAATTCGTTAATTGCACTGTGTTAAGTACATTAAATAAAATTGGATGAAGCATGACTAATGATGTCTTGTTTCCCAAACTTTCATTTCCTGATCACATTATACCTTGCTTGAAAAACTAATCACTATACAGACACATTACTTTAAAACATGCATTTTTGGCTTATCATGACCAGTGTCAGGGATTGCATATTTTGCTTCCCGAACTCCAATTATTGAAAAGGGGACCCAGTTTTTCAGGCAAGCTGGGGTCCAATCTCTAATAAAGTTATCGAGGGTCAAATTTCAATTTCTTACAATTTTTATAACTGGGACTCGTCTTGCCGAGACACTAGCGCAATCCCTGAGTGTTCTCCACAAGGGGTTTTAGGTAGGCAACCCGTCCATCATATAGGTTGTTATAGTGGCATGCTTACTATCGGTACCTAATGTAGAGAATATCTGAATTTTTAACATGTTTTACCCCTGTTACTACTTTAATATGCTAATATTGGGACATTTTACTCAATGACAAATCTTTTTTTGATCCCAATCTAATGATTAATATCCTGCTATACAATGACTTCCCAATGATTGTATGCCCAATATCTTTGTGATTTTAGATTATGTATAGCGCCCTCTTGTGGCATATTTCATATCACCATTTGTTTAAAGTCTGATCAAAAGTCCATCACCACCGTGTCTGGTTCTAATGAGATGGACTGTCAATCTTTCTGTCAAAAAAAAATTTCAATCAATATATAAATTGGCTTTGAGACCAATTCCTCTATTATATATAAAATCAAGGTCAAATTCCAATGCAGATTGATAAATATAAATGTTCTGATGTTCATTATCACAGTATTCCAAGTCAGCATTCCTTTTCTGATTGTTAACTATTAAACTATTTTTCGTTATTAATGGCTTTCTCACTTTTTATTGCTATATTGACTGCTAATTACATGACTTATTTTTTTTGTTCATTGTTAATTCAGAAATTAAATGAGGATTCCGAAGATGCCTATATGAATGCCAAGTGGGCGGATAGCGGAGCTCTTAAAAGACAATTCCATGGAATTAAAGATGTCAAATTCTAATAAAAGATAATACTGATCATTGCTATGTATGGAATGAACAGAGACATTAAACCACGGCATTGTGACATGAACATCCACTAATGGAGATCCATGGTTACAATGACTGTGCATTAAAGCGTCACAGCCATCTTACAGTATGGATTTGAATTTGCGTCAATTAAAAATGTGTTTTACATGCAGTATGTCCATTGCATGAACTTGTATTAAATGCAACACAGTGTAATGACTATGATGCTTTAAGAGGCGGTGGTCGTCGCACAACACATGGTCGAATTTCATGTAAACAAACTATGTTTTACATGCACTGCATACATTGCTATGAATCGAAGATGGCGCAGTGTGGCAATCACCGCCCTTTGAATAATTTTAATTATGTTCTCATCAAAACAACATATCTAAGTTTTTTTACTCTGTGTTGAAATAAATGGTTCTTGATCCACATATCACATATTAGCTGATTTGACGTAATTCTAACTAGCGTCCATACTTCAGTATCAGTATCAAATTATGTAATAAACATGTAACAAATGAACATACATACATACATACAGTGCACCTAAAACGACATTGTACATTACCAAACACCCCAACAAACATGTCAAGTACAATACATATTGCACTCTCACTTGTAAGTCGCCACAACATATAATTAAAAAAAAAAATATAATCTCATTTTTGTGATCTGTTCAATTAAGTTGGCAATAATAAAATTGTGTTTACATATTAAAATCAAACAAAGAATAACAGATTGTAGATTGCATCAGCTATTAGTTAATGTCACGCCATCCGGGTTTGACTGTTCTACATATGTTACTATGGTTTCGCTGTGTTTTCATCAGACTAGAATTAAATAAACCTTGCATGTATGTCCAGTACATTACACACTGCAAATAGCTATTACTGATTTGTGAGTCTCCGCAACAACAAATTGATAGTAAAACTGATACATTTATTTCATCTTTGTCATCTGTCTGCTACAGATAAAGTTGTATTTACATAAATATAACAAATTCAACAGATTGCAGACTTTGTCTGACCTATATACATATACATCACTATACTATGGTTTCCTCATGTTCTCATCAAACATATTTTTCTCTTTTAGATACAATTTAAAAAATGGAGAGATTGATGATATTTATCTGAACCATAAATTGTTATTTGACGGTATATTTGTACATATACTAGTAACTCATCAAGCCATTATAGTCGACACAAGGTGACCTTAGAATTACGGGTTTGACAGATGAGTGATCATGTTTGTACTTTGAGAGTTTCTTATTCAAAGCTTGTTATCCATTGTACAGATATTATTTTATAATTTCATGTTTTATTCTAGGTTTTTTTTCCCCAATTTCCAAAATATTAATTTACTTTTGTGTAAGTTACATGTATATGGCTACTGTCTGCCAGTATTAATAAACAATATTTGAATTTCTCTATTATTATCTTGGTCTGAATTTAGTATATACGGGTAATGTGTAAGGAAAAAATGAATATGAAAACTGGTATTGAATTATTGGAGTTTAGATATTGTTTATTTGTCTATAGACTGACGATATTTCATGGAAACACATTGAATATAACCCCCTCAATCTGAAATTAAGGATGTTGTATGCTTCACGCACTGATATCTCAAGAACCACTCATCAGATTTTGATGAAACTTGGTGCTTATGTTCTTATCCACAGATCATGTTAGTCCGTGTATAATGATTTCATATTTTACTGGTTAAGTCATATTTACACCAATCGATAAAGTATCAATTGATAATTCTTAGTCATGTCTCGACCTTGAATGAACTTTAGAATCTAAGAATCACTACAACCCGGTATAAAAAGGCAGAGTGAAAGCTCCCCTTGTATTAGGCAGAGACAACATCAATTCGTCGAGAGATATCGACAAATATAGGGTATATATATATGCATCGGTAACTGAATAAGGTCCATTACAATCTGCTGATAATCATTCTGCAAACTGTCAACAAAAAGTCTTAAACACGTGGTTGATTATTCACAAGAAACCATTTGGGCATTGTGGTGATACCGGGGTTGAAGGCATATTGAGATCATTTTATTGTTACGCCGTGAGATCCTCGTGCATTTGAACTGAGCCCGGTTCATAGAACAGCTCATGTTCCGAGAACATTTTTTTTTTTATCAGATCTGAAGTATTTCTAGAAGGATATCTATCGTTTTTCATATTCTGAAATATCGTAACACAGAACATGTCCAGATTGTCTGACTTAAATGTCCGCTTATAGTAATTGCAACATGAGTCTGGAATACTAAGTTCCACCAGTGATTACGCAATGACTAAAAATAAAAGAAAACGTAATTAATAAAGTGTTCTCTTTGTAATCTAGTAGTATATCATTATATTATCTGCCCGAGATCGTCAATAAGGACACACTACGTAAATAGGGTAAACGCCCGACTGGTGACTAAGTGATATTAGAAGAGTGTTTCACCCAAATAACCAATCCTGTTGGAAATACTAGTATTTCAGGAAATCTCTCGGCGTGATCAAAGTGGCTGCGTGAAGAACTGAAAAACGCAATCTTTCTGGTGAGCCTTCCAATGTTACGCCTGATTAGGGTGGAAGCCTACACAACATTTATCCATTTTGTGTTTTAAGACATTACACACAAAAACGTGAAAGATGTTTGTCGGCTGCTTCTGAAGAAAAAGTGTTACGCAAGTGTGCGTTTATTTGCAAAATATCACTTAGTGTATATTCATCCTTTCCAATAGCTGGGTGGGGCTATATTCTCTAAAATTGTCATGCACGTGATTCACCGTGATTCGGCCATTCAGATAATTTAGTGAATTTGTTCTTTAAAATATTTCCGCTTAAGCGAATTGTGTCAAACAGGTTAAATCCAAATACTCACTCTCCATAAAAGTTTTCGGAGACATGAATCAGTCAGATGGCGTACACGTAATAGTAAATAAAATATATCTATTATTTTGTAAACGCACATAAATTTTATATATAACGTAGCTTGTGATATTTATTGTACAGGGTATCAGGTTTTACTCAGTGCATTCAAATGAATGATTAACTGATATTTAAAGAACGGATGCGAGCGCGCTAACGGTAGTCGACGGCGTCTGGGATAGAGGTTCTAGTGAAGGTCCAAAGCCCGTGGAGTCGAGTAGAATTTTGTGTGGTTTTCGTACAGCCCGAAGGAAAAGTTGCACTCCTACTTGGGTCTAGTGAAAACAAGATCGTTCTGAAAAACAGTTTTTTCCCAAAAACCTGCTATGGAACAAAGAAAGGCGTATTTTCCTATATTGAATGCTGAACGAAAACTGTCAGCTATCAAATGTTAGCTGACAGATAGAACAATCTAGACGAGCTGAACATAGTATTATTAATGTGACGTATGATGTATTTATTCTGGTGAGTTATCATGGATTATAAACACAAAAATATATAATCCTAAAACAATTAGGCGAATTAAATATTTTTAGTAGGTCATTATAACTGCAAAACATTCATTCATTCAATATAAGGTACATCGTGTTGTCTCACAATGTACTGATATTGTGTGTTTTGTTTGGGGTTACCATACATGAGAAAAGTCACATTCCCGGTCGTTTGGCTTGTAGGGCTACCATGCATTTATTGAGCTTTATTCACTAAGGGAAGATTATTAAGCAATAGGCTTATTTTTTCCAAAGGGTCTTCATTTCATGAGGTTAAGTTCCCGTTGTGATCTGGTTTTATATCCACATTTCGATACGCGTTACTTATCATCACTGCCTGTGTCATGTCAGAGGTACTATTGCGTAAAGCGCAAAGACCTATGGGAAGGAGATGGGTCGGTGCGTTGTGGTTTCCAGGGAGATTGGCAGGAAAGGGCGAAATGCGATTCGGATGGGACAATTCGAAGTCAGTCGCCCGCAGACCACCGTCGAAATATCAACCTCCGTTTTACGAATGGATGAAATCATTTCAACGACCACTTTACAGAATAATTCTCAAATTCACTGGTAAAACTTATTGGAAACACTATGAGCAATTTTGAATAATAGTACTGAAGTGAAATATTAACGAGACTACATACATTTCGTAGCTTGCTATGGTCACGTTAAAGAAAACAACTGTGGTTACTTTCATCAGTTGCTGGCCGAGTTTTGCGATTAACTGTGCTTGCATCTCGTAACGAAAGAGCCATTTTATTTGGAACTACTGTGTCGGCTATCGGAAACTACATTATGAACAGTTTTAATGAAAAGATGATTTTTTCATTGCTCACGAATATTTGTTTTTGTTTACTTGCAAAAAACCCCAGTATTGAAGGTTTTCCACATCAGGGGCAAAAAATTAATATGTAGAAAATTTATAAAATTTCGAATTATGTTTACATGTAATGGATTCTATGGACAGTTCTTTTGACTTGAGTACTACGTGACGAACAACAGCTAAGTGATATTTTAGCTTCCACGAAAGATTGGCGTTATTAATAAGTTTCTTTGAATTAACCAGCTATCTGTTACTGTCAATTAACGCTTGCCCTGATTTGGCAAGAGCAATAGACACATGTTCTCTGCCATACTACTTATAGTGAGAATTTGACAAAGAGTGTTCAACGGCAGATGGTATATATTCTCGGGAGGCTCAACGTCTTGAATTGTCACCACCGTCCTCCAAGCCATTACTCTAGACTCTAGTGACGAAATAATTTTCACTTGTCGTAGAATTTGACTTGGACGCACTGTCGATATTGGAAAGAGTTGTTAAAGGAAATAGGTGGGATTGCGGTATCATATATGTACGTTTTTTTTACCTCATTCGAAATGTTCGCTGCAAACTCGGTGATCAATAGTCTGTCCAAACTCACTCTAATTTCCACGGTGACACCGACTCCCGGCACCGACTCATCCAGTATTGTGAATCCATGTTTTACGTGCTTTGCATTATTTTGGAAAATCCAAAATTTTCAGCGGACGATGCCGCTTGTTGTTGTTAAACCCTCTAGTATACAAACGAATACAGCTTGAAACTAAAAAATAAAGAAATTGTCACCGATTAGCTCCTGAGTTGGATAACGATTTCGGTTTTAAAACTACCGAGAAAGTGTTCTTGGTTCTTCGTGTAATTAGGTGTTCGCATGCAAGGGATTTTCCACACAAACACGACAAATTAGGCCGAACTCAATTGGCGGTTGTGTCTGTGAAAGTTTGGCACCCCCTCCCCCGATTTGTAGGAATCCGAAAAAAACCTTTCTCAACTTGTCTCTATATTTAGTTTCAAAACGTTTTCAAGATGGTTGCCCTATATAGTAAATGTCGGTAAATTGGTCGCATTTATTTTATTATCACGTGTACGCCAGCTGACTGTGGAAGTAGCGACCCTAGAAACGGTGACCTACTTTCAATATGACGTCTTTGGCTTTTAACCTTGCGGCAAGCTTCAAATGAAATCAGCCAGGATATTTTTTGCACGAGAGTATGGTACTATGTTGTACCTCACCACTCTTTAGAACTGTCATATATACATACGTGATGGAATGATATATTCTACCATATATAAAATATAGGTATAATGGATCTTATGTATTGATTTGTAATATATTTAATTTCCATTCAAGTTGATGCGCAGTTCCGTATATACTGTATCCTATTTCTGTTAAATGCACTTTTAAAACTGTTGGTGCGTTATGAATATGTTCATTTTATTCGAGTTAATATCACGCAGCCATCATATACCAGTTATATTCCTCGGTGTATTTCTCGTTATCACGTCACCAGTGATCGGCAAATGGACATTCGATGACAATCGCAAGCACATTAAGTTGTCACTTTCCTATTACGGCGTACCTGGTATATTACTTTACTAAACAGTGATCTTTACTCGCACGCGGACGCCGGGAGTGGTTTGCCGTCCGAACTCTCTAAACATCGACCCTGTTCTAGGAGAATTTTGATCAGACAAACAGTTTTGACTGTTTTTGAGTAAAAATATGTCATTGACGGAAATATTTTTTTTTCAAATTTTGGCTCAAGAAACCCTACTTTTGTCCCATGTTTAAGTTTAAATAGAATATCTTCGGAAAGTAGACAATAGGACGGCACATAAGTATACCTAATATCTCAGACTAGTTACTAGTCTGAGCTAATATGCAAGTGTCCTGGGCGTACGTAATTGTCCTATATTTCTCGTGAACTGTGATATATACGCAGTTGATTCTGTGTGATTCGTGAGTACGCACTAATGTTATTACATGTGTCGTGTAATCCCCTTTCCAGTTGTACAGTTGTTGCTATGGAACAAGACGGACACACAAACGAACGTGGTTGGCAATACATTGTAGGTGTAAACTTTCACTGTTTGTGATAATAACCATAGAGAGAAACGTGATCAATAAACTAAATTTAATCAATTTGTTTGATGTTACATATTGTCAACTTCAGCATTAAATTATGAGTAA